CCCTGCCCCTACCCGCTTCCCCCAGATTTTTGTCTCACTGCCCCTCTTCATCTCGCTCTCTTTTTGGAGCGTGCAGCATAGCAGGCTCGCGCAGCCGTAATAATTCTTCATTTGTTGTTTTCCGTTTGTCTCTCTCACTCTCTCTCTCCCTCCCTCCCTCCCTCCCTCCCTCTCTCTCTCTCTCTCTCTCTCTCTCTCTCCCACACACACTGCTGGCGCACGCGCGCGAGCGCACTCTGACACATCTCGTGACGCTGGCACGCGCTTTGCTCGTTGTTCGTCGCGTTTTCTTTGAGTTGTAAATGAGTGGCGCGTGCCAAACGACTCGTGTCTCGAGAGCGACAGAGTTGGCGATATACTGAGACACCGGAGAAGGGCCTTCCTTAACGGATCACCATGATACCATGGCACGCCAACTCCTCCCAATGCAGTCTTCAAAATCCTACTGTTGAATTTTCAGAGAGTGAGTTGTAAGGAGGAATATTTTCTCGGGTACGCGCTGCCCCTCCTGTGGTGCTTACTACGCCTCCCCGCTCAACTTTCTTGTGTTAAGCGTCACGAGCCCCCTTTCCTATAACCCCGCTCCCCCTCTTGTTCCCGCTTCCTACCCCTTTTAGGATTTTAGGCGGGGTCTGGTGGTTGCGGCCTTAGTGTTGCGATCCCCACCACTGTAATGTGCAGGTCCTAAAGCTTATGCCGCTTGTCGGGGAGTGGCGCGGTGGGGGCGAGGTGGGGCGGGGCGCAGAGGTGAGGCTGCCGCCGTGGGAGGCGCATGCTCCATAATCAGGAGGCATACAGACGTGTGTGTGTGTGCGTGTGTGTGTGTGTGTGTGTGTGTTTTGTAGGACCGTCGCCCTGCAGGGGAGGCCTGACCTCTCTTCACCCCGGCCGCCGCGCTCCTCCACGCCGGGGCGGTATGGCCAAAACTTTAAGGCACAGCCGTAAATTCATTAAGGTACTCCAGGAAGGCCGCACGGCCGCCGCTAGACTGGGTAGGGGGG